AATGGAGAGACACTACGATTTTCTTTTAGGCTCAGCCTTAGAGCGCAGATAATCGTAGTGTCATCCATTAGCGCCAGCGCCAAGAGTGAATGTCATATTCGTAATCAGGATGTTAAACTACCCCTGTATACAAGTTTTCAGCGGATTTGATGACCTAGGCACTTCATAAACGACTCCACAGAGGAAAGTAATCGCGAAGGCATTAGCCTAGTTGCCCTAGACTCAAAGCGTGGCCCCTTCCAGCTACATTAGCGTCCTTGTTGGAGTAGAACTTATAGTTCGAGAGACATGAAAAACAAACGATACTCCATTGCCGCCTTCTTGGTAGCACACCAATCCTAGCTGGCACGGTGGGAATCGACAGACGGCGTCACGCAACTTTCTGTACCGATCACTTGGAGTATCGAAAAGTGACACTGTGCATCCTCTTAATGCCGAAGGCAATCCAAGAAACTCGCAGTCGATAGCTGAAAAGTAGCAACAAATTGCTTCAATCAAAAGCGTTACTGACTATGACAAGGATTTGTTCGGAAGTACCACACATGACGTCACCACATGACGTCCTTTGGAATGTGTAGCGATGCGCTCATATTTCGCGACTCGAACGACTCAGATTTTTGTGCGACTGCGACGGCCTGCGCTCTGCTTCTAAGGCAGCGTTCAGACTTCGCGACGGCAGCGCTTCGGTCGCGCGTTCGACGCGATCGATGCAGTTGAAAGCATGCGCATCGATCGCGCCGAACGCGCGACCGAGGCGCTGCCGTCGCGAAGTCTGAAGCGCTGCCTAATTGTTGGATCCGCTGCAACTCCTAATTCAAGCACGCCTATCTTGACTTTTCTGCTGCTAACTCCTACTCCCTCACTGTCTTTCTTCACATTCATGCGTCGATCCTTTAGTATGAACACGATTGAATTAGAATTTACAGCAATCCAACGCTATCGCTGGTGCGCCGTCTATCTTACTTGCTTGAGTCGAACAACTGAAGTGTTCGAGGCGCGCAGTATGAACGCAAATAAATTCGAGAAAACGGAGATTAGTGAAAGACAGTGACGCTCAATTCAGCATAATACCTGCGAGACGGTTTAGTCGTTAGCATGTTTTTGGGCTTCGCGATTGAATGACCCTACGGTTCTGTGATTGGCACTGGAGCGCGTTGTAACCCAGACGTTCCCGAAATAGTCTTCTTTTGTGGACGGGAGTGTGGAAAACACAAAAGTGAGTAAAAAGTGTGAAAATTGGTGCCAGATTCATCTGGAAGGATAGGAACACTGGTCAGTGTTCTCATCCTCCCAGATGAATCTGGCACCAACCTACCGTTTTCCTATCATCCACCTATAATGTTCCTGTCCCATACCCAACATTATATCTTGGAACCAATACCTCACCGTTGCTCTGGCTCACCCCATGAAGCCGGTCACCTCTCTTCCAGACGCTCCTTATCAAATCTAATCAACTCTTGTCACCTTCTGCCACCCACCAATAATACTCCTGTCCAGTCCCCTAGGTCATAGGTCATGTTGGAATTAACCTCCCACTGTTGCTTGAGCCGGAGCTATGAAGTTGATGACCCGCACATTCCAACGCCCCTTATCAGATCTTCTCATCTGTTATCACTTTCTACCACTCACCAATAATGTCCTTGTCCCCTGCCCTACATCATACATTGCCACCAACGTTATTCCGTGCGGGGAACGGCGCTATTAATTTGGGGGCCCATCCATTCTAAGACCCCGTACTGTATACTGTCAGCTGTTATCACTTTCTACCACCCACCAATAATGCTCCTATCTCCTGCCCTACACCATATCTTCGAAGCAACCTTCTACCATCGCTAGGAATCGAGCCGGCGCTTTGAGAGTACCCATTCATAGATACGTATTTGCTCCTGACTGCTGGAAATGCTAGCGTACGCTAAAACGCCGCCGACGCTCAAAACGGAGACGTAAAGTACGGACGCACGCTTACCTTCCCCGACAAAATCAACTTCCTTTTATTCCCCAGCATTTTTAGGTATGTAGCAACAAACGCGCTTGAGCATTGTCCAGCTTGTTAATTATTATAATAAATTGATGTGACGTGAAGTTTCCTCGACTCCCGAACAAGGTCAAGCATAACGTCGTAAACATGACCTTCCCCTATTCAATACGAAGTGGACGATTAAGCCTTTCAAAGAACTGCAGTTTAGGGCATGCGAAGCATGTCTTTGTGCACAAACCAGCATAGTAATAAAACACTTCAACGTTTTCAATTGTTGAATTAAACTCATTCACTCGAAGATCTTCAGAACTTGAAACAGAGAAAGTAATTCATATGTTCTGGATTGCCAGCAGAACCTTCCGGTGCATCCTTTTATGGTTACCTGATTTGATACATTTAACCCATAGGAATTATTGTGGCATGTTATTATCGTAGGTCCGTAGGTACACGGTTAGATATGCAATGTGTGACTTCGCCTGAATGCAGAGGCACACCTTGTGGTCAGCGTTCTACTACCTCTATCAAAGACCACCCCGTTTAGGGTCTCCCATTACCAAGGAGGCCACCCCGCCTCAATAAATCTATTACTACATTACTATCGACACATAGACTGTTGAAGGTCTCAGAAAAATAGGCACTAAAGAACGTAAGCTGCCACGACCTTATTTGACACCAAAATGTTATGTCGTATCCCTCGAATATCGTGAACCGCATTCAAAGAACCGTTTTGCGCAGCCAGAAAAGCTTTACCAGAGCAGGATGAACTGCTGCGATTCCACGTGAAAAAACATCTTAACCTAAATGCTGAGACACCTGGGCTCGCGGTTGACGCTGTTCGCGATGGTTTACTTCTACAGAGCACCACAACCGGTTCAGCAATATTTAAGGAGTGTAAGTTCATCATTTTGATATTCGAGTTTCTTGCAGCCAACCTCCACGAAATTTTCGCTGTACGTTAGTGTCGCGTATTCTCAACTTGTTCAACTCACACATTTTCATACCGGCAATTTGGCTTAGAAGTGTTTCAGAAGTCATGTACCAACAATTCTGCATAATTAATAAGAACTAACAAACGAATACAGCCTCTTCTATGGATTTCTTAATACGCGGCAACCAGTACTGGAAGTTCCGCCCGTCCACATCAATCGCTGCCATTCATAAAAATGTTTCTGAATGTTGCAAAACACGAAACACGAACACAACAGGTTGACCTAATGTCACCACACAGAAAGAACAGTTCGGTGATCGAAAACACGAAACGATCTCTTCACATCTCTAACGATATATACATTTAACCAATGACGGTCTTAGAGGACCTGTACTCTCAACAACATATA